GGAAAACTTTTAAAAGAAGAAAATTTAAGAGGAAAAAATAGGAATTCTAATCTTCCAGATAAGAAAAACTGAATGTAGTATATGTAAAGGTTTTATAGTTAGAAATTGTGGTGAAAGTGTTCCAATATATATAAAATTGTGCATCTTTAATTCTCCCTGTACGTCACCTTAGTTTTTTTCCAAATATAAGAATTTAAAAACCAAAAAATTTGAATATGTAGTTATATCCACAAACTTGAGTTAGGATATCAGAAGAGTCTTCATAAATATGCTATGTCTTTTTCTTTTTTAAGCAATTAAAGATGTCTTTTGCATTTTCAACTAAGTTGAGATGTTCAAAAATCTTATTAAATATAACTAACCAAACAGAATATTCAGGCACTAAAAATCGTTCCTCTCCACATTTTGCCAAGTGATCGAGTTCTTCCGAAAGGGTAATTCATTGTGTTGCCATCATGTCCTTTTCGCTTGGGCTGTGATGAACCGTGCATGATAATCATCCATTTGGCGTGAAAAGAGAATCTCAAGATCCAAAATCAATTCACACATGTTGAACCCAACCACAATGCTGTAGACATGCTGACTTTACAATACAGTCAGGCTTCTAGTTTCCTTTACTTTAATCATTATCTGATGTGTAGAACAATTCCAGCCCCTTCATGTGGACACAATTTAAATCCCAGACTGTAAGAAGAGTGGAAAGAATGTTTCCTTTTTACTCTCTTGGCATTCATGTTAGTATTTGTTGGAGTAATGAACTCAATATGCAGGACGACTCAGATAAACTAGCTCCACACTAGCTAGACTAGCTCTACCTCCCACGGGTAAAAGAAAATATAAGATAACAATTCTACTCACACAGCCTTATACAGTTATATAAAAGTTTGTCATAATATTTTAAGAAGCCATTAATAAATTAACACAGATAGGTAACTCTCAAGGGCATCCAAATAAACTTTTAACTTTGTGGAACTTGTATTTTTCTAAATTTTGTTTAATATCCTACAATAATAAAGAGTAAGGTGACTGTCTATTAAAGTAGATATTATTCCTGTTTTGCAAATAAGGAAACAAAGATGTGGAGAGACCAAGCTATGTGGCTTGTCCATATTCACAGTTTGTAAATAAAAGTACCTCTATCCATGTCAATTCTTTCTGATTACAAAAAAGATTCTTTCCACCATAGCAGGCTACTAAACTACTGAAATAAAAAATAATTTGGTCATTGGCAAACAGGACTGTTAGGAGCATAGCTACTTGAGATAGGATGTTCTAATAGCGAAAATTACTTGTACAAATGATAAAAGGGTTAAACTACTTTATTTCTCTCGCAAAATAGGATCATACAAGAGTAATGGAATGACTGATTTTGCAGTTCGCATGAACATTTCAAAATAGCTCAGAAGAATTTTTTGAATTAAATCAAATAAGAATAAAAACAGCCACTTGACAGATGTAAACTTCTAAAACTGAGATTAGCGCAAGGCCATTCCTGACAGTCATCTTGTCTCAGGTAATACCTCGGTATCCTTATGGAAAGTCTGGGAAAGCTTCTGCAGCTCACTTTCAGATTGGGCTGCTCGCGCCTTTTCTTTCTCCCAACAGTGCAGCACATTTTGTAGTTCCACTTTTAAAGTGCTTATTAGAGCCTCTCTGTCTGCACATTTAGTGCGTAAATGACTTAACTCTTTATTGACATCAGCCAATTTATCCTGAAGGTACTGTTGGAGACACCAAATAAAGAGATTGTATCAAGACGATAACATTTAAATATAAAATGTTAATTACTTACTCCAAAAAGCTCTTTGAAAGAGTTTTCCTTTCAACTCATTATAAGAATATAACTTGGTAGCCCAAAAAATTTTAAAAACTTGTAAATAACATTTTAAAAACAAATCTCTTACATTTACTATAAGAACATTTACTTCCCAATGACATTCCAAATACCAATAGAAATCTCAAATATGTGACATAAAATTCTGCTGAACTATTTACTCCTTACCCTTAACAAATTCTACTCAAGTATGTCCATGACAAACGACATGAACCAACACCAAAAAATCCCAACTCTGAACGTTGGATTAGTACAATTTTGCAAAGATGTAGTACATAAGACCAGCACAGAAAATAAAATAAACTGTTGCCCTAGACCTTAGCCAGGTATGGTCACAGCCCACTACTAGGCATGTTGTACTAAAAACAATGGCTCCACCCCAAAATGATGAAAACTGACCCCAAATACTGATGTGCTATGTAAAATATGCTGAATGTGTATCTAAGGCTGGATATCAAATCTTAAATCATTTTTTGAGTCTATGGTATTATAATTAAATCTGGGAAATGAATTTTTCCTTTAACCAAAATAATTTCCAATCGTTTTATTTTTTTAATGAAAAAACATTCTTCTTACTTTGACCAACAACAAAAAAAGTTTTTAATTGTATCTAAACATACTTAATCAAAAATAGGAAGATATATTTTCAGATATCTCTACTTAAAAATGTTCCCTAAAAAATATATATATATATATTCCCTAAATAATTATATTTGTTTCTTAATAAAAAAGGAAAAAGTTATTCTAAATCACAATACCTTTATATTTTTAGCATGAGATTCTACCTTCTGTTTGGTAGACTCAAGTTCATTAGATGTCTTTTCCTTAGCATGATTCATGTTGCTTAGCTGATGAAAGAAAATGTAAGTAAACTTTTAAAATATTTTTCAACGGTGGGTAACTCAAAAGCTAATCTTTAAATGTTTTTTATGCAATTACTTAAATACAATTTTTTTATAGTAATTCAGAGAGTTAAAAAATTATTTCTTTTGGTTAACTATGTAATTTCTGTCCCAAGTTCACATGGCTAAAATGAAAAGAAAGCATTCAAGCTTAAAATGTCGGTAATGTTATTGTGTTTTTACTAGATATCTGGATAAAGGATTTCATTCTTACTGTAAACAAATATAACTTTATTCTTAAAATCCTACTGGACCAAAATGCCAAAAGCAATGGTATCTATACAGAAAGAGAAAAGGACAGACCAGAAGACTGTTCTTTCTACATCACGAGAATATTCACTGGTCTCTCAGTCCATATGACAACTTCAGGGTCGGTCACATGCTGTCCTACTGGGAAGGCTTGTGGCAGGTCATCAGTTGGTCCTGCTCCGCTTGTGATTTATTTTCTTTGACAGTTCATTCTTCTTTCTGTCAGACTGCTCTTTTTGCTTTCTTTGCAGCCACCCCTTGGTCTCCCCACTGCTGTCTCTGGCACTGGTTCACAACAAAGCGCATTACTAAGCCAAAGCCTGCTGAGTCGACTTTTCAACTGTGCTGAGGATCATGTGACATTCATCCTCCCAAATAACAATTCGCTGTGGGTAATATGTTCCTAGTTACCCTGCAGCTTCCAGACCTAGGCCTCAGAAGAGTTTCATAAACTACTAACAATACAGGCTGTCTTGTCTCACTGAGAGTTAGCAATGTTTGCTCTTTATAGAAATTTAATTATTTCAGTGGTCACTTTCTTTTATGCCTTTTGAACAATTACAATTACTGAGGGCATTAAGAAGACTCACTTTTCCTTCTTTATTCATCTTAGCAAACTAAAGTAAAATATGCCTCTTCTTATGGGAAATACAGTGGTTTCAAGGTCTTTGTATTACATAAAAGAAACAGATAAACAGAGGGATAAACACTAAATTCCATGCTATGTGGCTTGTCTTTGGTTGGAACAACTGTTTGTTGCTTTGCTAACTAATTGTGTTTAATGTAGTTACTTCATATTCTCTAATTTAACAAGATGTAACTAAATAAACTCTTCAATTTTTAAAGCACAAATTCATAAAACATTTTAATACCCAAGAAAATTATCAACCCACAAGTTAAACAATACAAAAGAGAAGATAAATAAAAGCATGAGCTTTTTCACTTAGGAAACTAAAAACCTCCAAGCTACATCAAACAGATGTTTTTAAAACCTTCTAATGCTTTATTCCCTTTAGAGAATGCACACTAATTTCTCTCTTTTTTATTGACTTCTACAATTTGTAGAACTCCTAAGCCAAAATATTGGCAAACCTTAAATTTCCAGTACCTATTCCAAATTTCATAAAAACACATTAACATTTAAATATAACATATATTAACTAAATGAGTAGCATAGCTCTTTTGTTAAATTAAAATAGATAAATTATGAAGACCAAGAAGTGACAGTCTTTATAACTTTGAAAATAGCAGTGTGACAGAAGAGAGAGTGAGACCCGACTTTAGGCCATACTTAAAGAAAGAACAGTGACAGACAACTTGTTATTTTTTGTATCTGTGAAGCTGTCAAATCAACATTCCCAATACTTTTGACCTTTGTAACAAGCAAGTAATACGTACTGCTGCAGGCCGAAGGCTATGTGTGTGGAGCCAAACAGTGCAAGTGTTACCTCATTAGATGCATCTTCCAGCTTGTTCTGGTAATCTGTCAAGGTACGCCTCAAACTCTCAAGGACAACAGAGAAGCTGGGAGGTTTATCTTTGTCCCTGTGGATGCCTGGAGAAAAATACAGGATGAAAATATACCGTTAAAGTCGCAAAGAGACAAAAGCTAAGCAAACAGTAACAGAGATATTACAATTAGATATAACTGAAAAGACATCATGATATACCGAGTAGAATCTTATTCTCCTAAGTATACTGCTGTATAGCCTAGTATTAATAGCTTTTCTAAACAAGTGATCAAATTAACTTCATAATATATCAAGTCCAAATTTATGGCTACTTTGTACCTTACTATGCCCACCTTGTAGTTAGTAGTAAAGCTCTTTTTTTTTCCCTATTTCCAAGGTAACTGAGGTATTTGTACACACCTGTTATCCAACAATTAAATAAACAGTCTATACTAAACACTGTTTGGAGGAGTTACATACATTTACTTTGGTCCTTGTGTTTCTGATCAGTCAGGCCTATTTTTCTTAAACAATTTCTGAACCCAAAAGCACATAATTTTCTGTTATGCTTGGAAATAATGTTCTTCAATCCTTAAAATTCTCAAGTTACAATTTGAAATAAATAATAAAAATACTATTATCTACATAGGCCACATCATGTTTCAATTAAAACCCTTAAAACTGATACTCATTGTAAAAATATGAGTATTTCCATATTATGCCCTCAAACCATTTTAATTTAGGTAGGCCATAAGTTAGTTGAGCTAATCAAGATCACATGGTCAAATGTAGTTTATTTTTTAAATTTTTTAAAAAGATTTATTATTTATTTATTTATTTAATTCATTTTTGGCTGCATCGGGTCTTAGTTGCAGCATGCAGGATATTTGTTAAGGAACGCAGGCTCTTCATTGTGGTGCATGGGCTTCTCTCTAGTTGTGGCGTGTGGGTTTTCTCTTCTCTAGTTGTGGCGCACAGGCTCCAGGGCATGTGGGCTCTGTGGTTTGCAGCACTAGGGCTCTAGCTGAGGAGTGCGAGCTCAGTAGTTGTGCACACGGGCTTAGTTGCCCCTCAGCATGTGGGATCTTAGTTCCCTGACCAGGGATCAAACCCCAGTCCTCTGCACTGCAAAGTGGATTCTTTACCACTGGACCACCAGGGAAGTCCCTCAAATGTAGTTTAAAATAGCAATCCAAAATAATCAAAAGTTTAGTTTCAAAAACCACTTTGAACTGATTGCTTATTGTACTACTCATTAACTGTTAAAAATTAAATAGCAAATTTTAAAACATACTAAAATTACTTTTATTTTCCTATATTTTCTCCCTATCATATTTTAAAATCTAAATATTAATATCGATAAGAAGCATTCACAATACCTTTATTATTCATTGATTCATCCATTCAACTAATTTAATGCATTTAATGCATTCCTACTATGTATTAATCCTAGGCATTAGGCACATGGAGGTAGATAAGAATGGTGTAGTCTCTGTTCTCATAGAATTTACAGTCTAAAAAGAGGAGGTAAGATTGTAAACAAATAATTACATAAGATCATTCATCCATTCTTCAAGTACTCAGTTGCTGGAACTTTGGGAAGAGGAGGGACAAAGGCAGTAATACAGGAAAGAAAGAATGAATAAAGGGGAAAAAAATGTTTGGTTAATAACAGAACAACTTTATTCAAATCAGAGTATTAGTGATAATTATTATTTTAATTTTGGACAAAATGTTATTAATAAACTTATTACATTCACCGAAGTATAATTTAAACACTATCTTAAGTATGGGTACACCTTAGATTTTCTTAAACAGAAGAATAATAGTTAACTTAAAAACCAAAAGTAGGGCTTCCCTGGTGGCTTAGTGGTTGACAGTCCGCCTGCCGACGCAGGGTACGCGGGCTCGTGCCCCGGTCCGGGAAGATCCCACATGCCGCGGAGCGGCTCGGCCCATGAGCCATGGCCGCTGAGCCTGCGCGTCCGGAGCCTGTGCTCCGCAACGGGAGAGGCCACAACAGTGCGAGGCCCGCGTACCGCAAAAAAAAGAAAAAAGAAAAAAAAGAAATATACCTGCTATTCAACTGCCATTTCCTCAATTTATGGAACTTTGGGAGGTAGGTTTCTTAGTGTGCTATGTCTTTTATTTCAACAATCATTTCAAAGAATACACGAGCTCTTTACTATGTCTGGGGGGGCGGGAAAGACAGCGCTCTCGGCCATGAAAATGAAGAAGACAACACTCTGTAATGACGGTGAGTTGGAGAGAGAACTCATTAAAATTTTTATTAAAGGTCTTACCAAATATATTTTTAAAAAATTGCTCTCTTGCACAAGATAAAAAAAAGTGTAATGTATAATTCTTTTCTTCTGCTACTACACAAGTAGGTCATGAATAAATCATTCGAGGACACCCAGGAAATCTTAGCTTATACAGTAAGGGAGAAAACTTGCTCTTAGAAATCCAGAATAAAATCATCATAATATGGGTGTTGAGGAATAAGGAGACAAAATGCCCTCTCCTTACTGACTCATGCACATCTTATATTCTACATAAAAAAGTTTCTTTGCCTGAAAATGCTTTTACAATAAAGTTCAGCTGAAGTACAAAGTATGCCTTATGTCCCACCCACATTCATTATAAAAAGAAATACTTACTGGTCCCTTAACATGAATTAAATATTTACAAATAAAAAGAAAAGGTCGTTCAGGACCCAGGAGCTTACTGACTAAAATTTTATTTAACCTAATAATATCCTCATCACTGTACTATTGCCCACAAAACAATAAACTATTAAAGCTATCCTATCAGTGGATGGTCTAAAACCTCACAGTAAAGATTAAAAAAATAAAATAAAATAAAATTTTAACAGTAGTCATAAATAGCTTTTCAAAGGTTAAAGTCCAAATGAAGAACAGCATGTGTCAGGATGTGTCATTTATACTTCAATTACGCCAACTCAAAAATCTTCTGAGTTTCTCTGTCCCTGTCCCTATACACGTGTCTCTATACATGGGTGCCAGCCTATACTTTCACATCACTGCTGCCTGTCTCAGTCTTTCTCACTTTTAAGTACGTTTCAACAAGATACACCTTGGCAAATCTTTTCTTTGAATTAGTAGCCAATAGGAGGGAGTGAGGAAGAGGAACAGGTCCCAAACCTATTTAAATGTTCCCTTTTGGACAATCTGAAAAACTAAATATTTTTAAATGACTCAAATAAACCACTGTTTTTCAAGATGGTGTTATCACCTCAGTAACCCCACAGTTCCACAGGAGAAACAGTAGGTTGTAATGAATGAGGTGAGTCTATTTCCTCCACCTTGTCAACCATTCTCTTATCTACTTCAGTAGCCTGCAAGACCTCAATTATTAAGAAATAATGGACAGAGACTATAAAACAAAAGACTGAGCTTTTTTTTTAAAAAAAAAGATCTGTTGTAGAACATGAGTAGTCACGTTCATCCTCAGAACAAATAGGAAAAAAAGAAAAACGCTGTTGTTTAATGCTGATTTTTAATCATGTAATAAAACACAGAAAATGACATTCAAATGGGTTTTTCACCTGAGAAAATCTAAATATTTAATACATTGATGACTAAGAAAATTCTTTTCTCATTCTAAAAGCACTGAATATAAACATTTTGTTGGCAGTTAGACTTTTCAAACTCAGACTACATTCCATATATTAACTTGTCTTATTCACTGAGATCATAAACAAACATCATTATCTTGCAAACACTGGTACCCATTCTAGAGTTTTTAAGGAAAATGACTCATAACTTCTCTAACATATGGACAGTATTTATCATGTAAATCCTTCTCACCCACCTACTCTGTCCCCAGGAAGAGTCCAAAAAACCTTTCCTTTACCAAGGTTTGAGAAATGTATTGGTTGGGGGGAGCCTCAGCATCGTTGATGAGCTCTGTAAGGCTTGGTAGTAAGCATCTAGGCCAGGTAGCTGGAAAGCCACGGATAACAGTGGGAAATGGTGCCACAAAGCTGGGGTTCCCTGAATTCAGTGGGGATGCTGGAATCTCAAGTGACAAGCCAAGTGGTAGCACTTCATTTTCAGAGACAAAACGTACATGGTTACCATAATGGGCAGTGGATTCAAAGCAATAAACAAAATGGTTTTACCCACAGAGACCGCTGGCTTTGGCTAACTGATCATGGTGTTCCCAGGACTAAAATAGGCACTGTACTTGAACGTTACCCGATCTGTATAAGTAGAAAAGCTCTGGGTCTAATTACCAGAACTAGGAGTTAAATCAACACAAAAGACAGTCTTGGCACTCAACCAATTCTCAGTCTTGAGCTAGTTCACAGACCCAGTGTCCCTAGAATAAAGAGGATGGATCCTCTTTAGGAATCCTAACATACTGCCAAAAGCTTATACTGTATGTAAATCTTTCTCCTAGCCTTCCTCAAAGAAACATGCAACCATTTACCCAGGTGACCATGTACTGAGGAAGGGGAGTTACATATACCACGTATAACTGGACACTGGATCGGAGCTGACACTAATTTCTGGAGACCTAATATGCTATTGTGGTTCACTAGTTAGGTAGGAGCTTACAGAGGTCAGTTTTGGCTAAGGTCTATCTCCACTGGGCCCAGTAGGTACCTGAACCCACATAGTTATTGCCCCAGTTTGGAATGCATTGTTATATAAGACAAATGCAGAAACTGGCACAATGCCCATAGCAGTTACCTGATCCATGGAGTGAGGGATTTACAGAGGAAAACAAAACAGAAAAAAAGCAATTGGAAGTCACTAAAACTTTTACCTACCAAAATAGTAAATCAAAAATAATGCCACATTCCTGGAGAGACTGAAGAGATTAGCCCCTCTGTTAAAGAGTATAAAGGGGCGGAGATTCCAACCACATCAGCATTCAACTCATCTGTCTGGCTAGTGCAGCATACAGATGGGTCTTAAGGAAGGATAGTGAATTACTGTAAGCATGATCACATGGGACTCCAACTGCAGCTGCAGTTAAAGATGTAGTTTCATTGTTGGAGCAAATCGATATATTTCCTGGCAATTGGAAGGAAGCTATTTCTTCATCCTTTTAGTAAAAATCACCAAAACAGTTA